GAGGGGGTTGACGTGGCCTTTTTCAGGCTTGGAATTCAGAAGAGGTAAGTATGATCAAGTTAAAGTATCTCAAACTCTCGGGGGTTGCTGACACTTGCTGTCCATTTCTGCAATCAGCAGTTGGTACGAAGAACCATCGACTAGCACTAGGTTGTTGTTGTTGTTTGTTTGTTTGTTTGTTTTGTTTGTTTTGCTTGTTTGTTTGTTTGTTTGTTTGTTTGTTTGTTTGTTTGTTTGTTTGTTTGTTTGTTTGTTTGTTTGTTTGTTTTTAATCCGGACCGTGTCCGATGTCCGGAAGATGTCCGGATTATCGGACGTCCAGATTGGACCAGCCACAAGTCCGGTTTTGTGTCTGGACGTGCTGGGTGTCCGGGTCCGGGGTAGCCATGGTTCAAACTGTGGTCCAACAAAGAGGACGAAAGCAACCGAGGCACATCGATCCTTACATCGTCCAATTCCAAGATCTGGTCGGAAGGACGGGTAATCAACAGCGAAGGCGACACAGACGAAGGGCGATGGTCATGCATCCAAATCACTTGGCAAAGGGAAGAGCTCAGGATCCTGAACCTGTATGCCCCAAATGCAGAGAACGAACGCCTAGTGTTCTTCGAGCACATCAAATCACTCCTCCCAACCCCCCTACCGATGATCATAGCAGGTGATTGGAACACGACACTCGACCCCAGCCTAGACCGGTCCTGCTGGGTCCAACAGGAGCTACCACACACATTCGAAATATCATGACGGAGTTCGATCTGATCGAGCCCTTTCGCACCCTCCACCCTCGAAAGAAAGCCTTCTCCTTAGTCAAAAGGAACCGTTCTAACTACACATCACTATCATGGATTGACTTCTTCTTAATCTCCGATACGCTGCAGGGAACTATCAAGGAGGCCAATATCCTTCAGGCAGAGCCCTTCAAGGGACTCGACCACAAACCGACATACCTGCTCCTAAATTTCGACTCCCCGGTCAAGAAAGGCCAGTTTTTTTTTAGAATGAATAACTCCCTTCTCTCCACAGATCGCATGACTGAGGCAGTTAGATGGAATTGGGTGTTCTTACAGCAAGACGAGGCAAAACGCTCGAACAGACACAAGTGGTTCATAAATACCTACATAGACCTATCCCAAACAGTTTCACCAGAGTCTAGAACCATAGCAGCAGAATGCAGACTAAGGAAGGAAGAACTGCAGATCGCTCTCGAAGTGGCAGAGGCCAATCTCGTATCCGACCCTACCAAATCCTTCTACGACAACCTACTCCAATCGACCAAAGATGAACTAAATGAATGGAGAAGATGGGAACTCATAGGCCTACAAATTCGCGCCCGAATGACCGCCTACAATCTCAACGAATCCATGTCTAAATTCTCCTTCTCCAAAATCAAGGCCAATGCTAGGAACAACATGATAGAGGGGCTGAAGGAACCAACAGATCATGTGAAGACAAAGTCGACCGGCACAGACATGGTAAGGATCGCCAGATCCTTCTATGCTGATCTCTAGGAGGCCAAGACCCCATCCCCCCTTGCAACAACAAATATCAATGCCCGCCAGCACATGATGAGGCACCTAGATAGAATGATCACGCAGAAACAGACGGAGGATCTGGACAAACCAAGCACCTCAGAAGAACGCAGCCCTGTCCCAGATGGGAAACGACAAGGCACCAGGTATTGATGGTCTGTTTAAAGAATTCTGGACCCAATTTTGGCCGGAACTGGGCAACGACCTCTTGAATTTCATCAACGACAGCAGGGAAAAGGGAGGCCTGGGCCAGTTCCTGAGCACCAGCATAGTCTCTTTGATCTACAAGAAGGGAGACAAGGAAGGTCTAAAGAACTACAGGCCAATCTCACTCCTCACAATGCCCTACAAAATCCTCGCAAAGGCACTAGCCAACGGAGTCATAAAACTAACGGACAAATGCTTCCATACCGACCAAGCAGGCTTCATGCAGGCTGATATATTCTTGATAACGTGATGGCCCTGGATGAGGCTGCAAAGAAGATTACAAATAAACGGATGCAGACGACGATCCTATTCTTCGGCTTTGAAAAGGCCTACGATGAAGTCAACTGGGACTTCCTCCACGACTGCATGGAGAAGATGCGAGTCGGGCCCAAATTTCAGAGAGTGGGTAAGAGTGCTATATGGAGATGCCACAGACAAAGTGCAGATAAATAGAATTTTGTCAGACACCTATCTGATATCGAGATCGGTCCGCCAAGGCGACCCCCTCGCACCACCGATATTCCTGTTCATAATGGAAGCGATTGCCTCTTTTCTGCGCACGGACCCATCCATAGACCGCCTGGCTGAACAAAACTACAATCCCCTTCACAATTTCGCTCTACCCACAACACTTATGTTCGCAGACGACCTCACGGTCCTCGTCCGCGCCAACAATTGCTCCTTTCAAGCCCTAGCCTGCGCTATGGAAGCCTTCAGACTCCTCAGAAATGAAGGTGAACTGGGAGAAAACCGAAGGATGGTGGCTTGCAGAAGCCCCCCCCCCCCCCCCCCCAACCCCCAGACTTATTCACCCCAATCTCATGGTCCACAGGAGACCAAGCTCTTTTGGTAAACAAAGATGGCGTTTGGCAAGG